ACACAAAATGATCTCCATAAGTAGCTGTGTCTCATCTAATTCCATCGTTTACACCTTGCTTATATGCTGCATTTTAACTTGATAGCTGGCATAGGTATGGCCGTGAAATTACTCGGTACTATGACTCAATATCTTTATGTCACAATAATCCGCCACGTGTAAGTGACGCCTCTTGTGTTGCAAGTATTCACGAGCTGCTTGTCTTCGCTGTAACTACCAACCTAACTGTATATCGAAAAAAATATATGAAATTAAATGGGATGGAAGCATAACATCAAGTCCTCAGTAATAGTCACGTATGGGTACCATGAACGTCACACCATATTGCTTACTAGACCACTTGTATCGTCAGCTTGTTTGCCAACCCAAGTTGCATAGAAATGCCGTTTGATAGAATCCACTAGGCGAATAACTGAGGAAATTTTCGTGTCATTGATCCATTTTCAATGTACGAGCTAATAACATTATCATGAATGTCGGATCAGACAAACATAACATCACGCTGAAAGGTATGAAACGTCAAAAATCAGCAGTCATTGCCCTCGGTCGTACTCGCGCGGGCATCATTCGCCATTTACAGTTCATTGCTGTACGAAAATGAATTTTATAGTTTAGATGTGACGATTGTAAATAAGTTGAGTTTGTTTTTACAACGTTTGAGGTTCCGTTATTATTGTTATTGCCGATTTCAGCGATCAGATGTGGATGTTGAACACGAAACTCATTACATGAAGCACCAAGCGGTATCTTAGATGCACGAATGGCCTAAATCTACTTAATACCGCATTAGGCTTAAGTTAGAATTGGATTGTACTGCTGTAACTCGATGTTTCACCTTTACACAGCGAGACAATCGTTCACTCCGTACTGATATTATCGAGATTCTGTGATCACGATATGTTTCTCGCACAAAATTAATGCTGGAAATTATGAAACAACTTTTTGCATTTTTGTTCTCATATGGTATTTCAGTTTTTCCAGTAGATGTTCAGTTTGTTTTATTACTGTACATTTAAATATATCAGTCAAACCTTGGATTTTTCCTGCATCATCTCTTCTAAATATTCTACAGATTATATAAATTTTATTAATGAATAGTTCAGTAGCATTTCAGTAAAAATAAATACTGCACCCACTTTATTTAAATGTTATTTCTATATTTAATTATAAAAATTCCACAGATCCACTCTAAACGATTAGCCTCTTTATTTCTAATGCGAACTGCTAGAGAATGGAATACCCTTCCTGCTTGTGTTTCTGGAGAAATACAATCTGGAATTCTTCAAGTCCATAGTGACTAAGTCATTTTTTGGGTAAGCGCGCTGTATCCTAGATCAAGCGTAAATCCATCTTGTAATAAAAAAGAAAGTATTGTTCTATTATGTAATTCAATTTTTTTTTACCTTATTTTATTGTCATCCTTGTTATTGTTGCATTCTCGTCTTTCGGTTATGTTTTCACCACTTGGCTCATCTTTTGCTTTGGGTAGTCACTAGGTTGTGTCTCAAGGCTTATTTTTAATTTTTTCATAAAATAACTAATCGATACGATGACATTGACGAGTCACTGTTATGCGATCCTTTGTCGTGATAATCATTGACGTCATCCGCTGTTAGCGTAGTTCGACTTTTTTGTAGACATATTCCTCTGCATTTGAATGTGCCCTTGTTACAAGTGCATTTTGCTCCGCTAAACAATCGTGAATATGATAAACGAGATATTTCGAACTTGCGTGTTTACTTTTGCTTTGCAACTAGCAATTTTTTTTGCTCCGCAAAGGATAACGGCAATCTCCATTCTTTTCAAATATGGAATCACAGCAGGAAACCTTAGATCAGAAAAAATAGTTTTCTGTTCCGTGGGAGTAAATATATCAGTTTTCACTTTTCTTTTTATATCTATTGTGAAAATTTCTTTAGTATCGGCAGTGTAATCGGATAACAGCTACAAAAAAGGTGAAATGCGCACCTACTTTTGGAAGTGTTTTAATAATGGAAAGGGCACGCCCGTGTTACCTTTTAAAAATGTTTGCTGATTCGCAATATACCAAGTCACGACATGAACTCCACTTACACGACCTCGTCCGTTGAAACACGGTTGAAAGCATTGTAAACAGTATCATCTTGTTATTGTTTATATTACTAAATGCAGACGAGTTTGTTACTTCGTGTATGTATCAAAATAAGTTGGCATATACGCTTTGGCCTACCGTTTTAAATTCTTTTTCTCATACACCCAAACCGTTTATAGTGATAGTATATTGTGGGGCTTACCAAGATAGGTTTTTTTTTTATTGATGGGTGGAAATGGAATGGTAACCCTGCCTGCGCTAACGGGATACACTGGCGGAGCACCAGAGAATGGTGATAGATGAGAATGAAAACAGGCCAGTTAGCCCATCATGATGAATTCATCAGGAATTAACCATGATAGTTTCCAGGGGGAACCGCGTGGAGGTCGACCTGGTTGGGTATATTGCTAGCAATTGGATTCTCAGTCTACATTACTAACAATCCCTTTCCCCCCTGCCAAGATAGGCTGTGTATGATTGTTTTAGTTCTTTCCATTTTCGACCATATATATTGCTGGCAATGGAGCAGTTAAACCCCATTACTACGAGTAACAATTCTGTTTCTCCCGTTGTTTTGGTTCGAAAAGACAGTACAATCTCGAATAAGATAAAAATCATCCAGATACCCAAATGAGATACTTCTCGTATGACCGATAAAGGTAGTCATCAGTTAATATTTGATCAAAACGCTTCGTATGAGTCAGGCTGACTAGTTGGTTTTAATTGACACTATTAGTTTGTGTTTAGCGTTGGCTGAAGTCTGTCTGGTGTGAGCTTATGTTCCTTAAAATTTGAGGTTTAATAGTGTTATTATTTATTCTGTGATTGATTAAGAAATTTGTTTGTTGTGATGGCGAATTTCTATCAAAATAAACGTAATGAACCGTTTACATCAGCGATTACTGTAAGTAGAGTTAGAATAACAAAATAGTATTAGTAAAACGGAAAAGTTTAGTCCAAGATTACATTTAGCAGAACGCCCTATAACATTTTATGACGTCATGCTCCTCTTCTATTGGAGTAAGCAGGCACAATTAAACATTGAATACCCCAATACATTTTAGCTAAGCAAACGACTTGGTTCAATTAGGATTTCAATTCTGGTTTTGGTTCTTGTATTATTGTGCTTTGTCTCCTTACAGGTTCAAACACATGAAATTAGTGTTCTCTAAAGAAATGCTACTCATAATATAAAAACAACGCTTAAAATTAGAAAATATTTCACGATATTCGTTTAAGCTAATTTCTAAAACTGCGCGACTGATTTTAATGTAATTATGTAAAAATTGTTTACTCCAACTTGAGAGATAGGATAGTTTCTATTCTAACGTCTACGCTGTTGTCGAAATCTTGCATCCGTGCAAAGTCTAGGCGGGTCGCTAGTGGAAAGAATATTACTGTTCTACTAGTAAAGGCAACAGCAATATTTGCTACTTTACCTATTTCTATTTAGTTATACATAATTTAAACATGTAATATAGTCTGCATAGCTTGTGCTTGTAGTGCTTCCCCGCACCAACTAAGCCATTAGATCGTCAGTGAACGGTCCTAAAAGTGTACCTATTATGTAAACAGAAAAAAATCTCTTATCTACAGTACAGAGTGTAAATTTCTCAAGCGTGTGTGAAGGTAGTAAACTAGCTTACATAGTGACTTGTTGATGATCTAATGCAAACAGAATTAGTATACCCAATTGCTCTATCTTGAAGGTGCAATTTTGAATTCAAAACTATTTCACTTTATCTATTTAGCCCTCCTGTAAAATTGCTAGTTACGTTTTTTTTTAATTTTGTAATGGAATAGTCAATTAGTAATCTGTAGGCATTATAGTGTTGTGTATTGATTTACTTATTGTGATATGTGTTCATCATAATACATTATCGATTAATTTCACTTCATCACCTGTTTGTTATAATAATGTTATATCTTTGCTATAATGTAGCTGTATATTTGCTTCTTTAACATAATTGTTTGTTTATATGAGCTTTATTGTATTTGTAGTACCAATATTATGTGTAAAGGAGGACAGAGCCCATACTACGTCAGTTACCATGTTAGTAGAAACATGCATATCGTCTGTTGTTTAACTTCTTTTTGTTTCTTGTGTACTAGCTTAGCTTAAGAAGATTTGCATTGTATTATACATACATTGTTTAAAAAGTTACAAAAAAAATAACATAGTATACAGATTTTTAAATATACATAAATATACTTTATTGCACTTGTGAAAAAAAGATACAGCGATTAGAAGATTAGCTCTTCCAGCTAAATAAATTGAACCTTAATTTATTCTTTGGCAGAAATTTTCGTTATTAATCTTGAGACCAACTAAGATATTGCATTTAATCTTTTTCTTTATATTACCTTTACAGAATATGTGTAATTTATGTGGATCTTCTAAGTTCCCAAGTGTTGGTTTTCTAATGTTCTTTGTCAGAATAGAGAATCATTTTTATATGTTCTTGTTTCCAAAAATGTCTTTTTGTAATATCTGTTTACTACTTCGTCTAATAGTCTCGTATGAAAACATTTGTGTAATCCTTTATAGACATTATCTTCAGGGCTTAGAGAACCTTGGATACTAATTATAGCAAAACATAGACAATAGCATTTCAGTTTTCATATTTACACTATGGTAATATATGATCCATGTTTTTTTTTTTTAATATGTTGCGGTCTAATCTGTTAACCTGTCAGAATTTATAAACTAGTTTTTTTAACCATTCAAATGTGCTTTTTTGCTTTAGAATTTTAACTGTATCATATATGTAAATAATAAGTGGAAGTTATTATTTTATTTTAAAAATTAAAGCATGCATTTTATTTTGTGAATGTTAGATACGTAGTCGTCGTAAATATACGTTATTTATAACTGCATGTGATATTAACGGTTAATAACAGTTATTGTGCATAACGTTATTGTCGGCAGACGCGGACACAGCACGCACTTGGCAGTTTTTGACTAAAAGCAAACTAACACGAGTATTTTGCACATCAAAAGTAAGTTTCGCGAAACCCGCCAACGTAATCCGTTTAGTTCCCGCTTTGGTTTTTTTTCCCCGCTATCGATTTTGGTTTATCCTATTCATGAGTGTTTCGCCTTTCGCCACAACATTTGTAGTTGGATTTTATTTGTTCATTTCGTGTTACGTGTGTCGATTGAAATCGTCGTTAATTTCTCACAAGAATGTGTACTTAGGTATAATTTGTTCCGAGTTTAGACAAGGATTGCCCCTCGATTTAGTGAAAGACAGTGATAACATTATCATGAGTTTACTTGTATTATTAACGTGTTAATTTTCACAGGTAACAATTCTGATAATATCACTTCAATGAAATGTTATTTTTAATTTCTGCTTTTGGTGTTTTTTCTTTTTTTTTTTTTTACTTCATTACTTAGATATTTCTTTATTTACAATAACAGTAATAAGACTTTTTTCTAATTCAGTTAATAGCTATTTACATTGTAAGAAGCGATATATTAGCCGCGTCAGCTATAATGGTTTGAACTTTTACAAAACTAAGGAGTTAAAAGCAACACTTCTAATTTAATGTACAAAATGTATCGCTTCATGATTCATGTAAAATGGTTATTTTACTACACAGACTCCTAGACATTCATTTAGCTAGATCCTAACATTTTCTTTCGAAATTATTACCTGTAGGTACATATAATAAAACTATAGAGGTCAAATATCTGTATATAGAAAAAAAAAACACTAATAACCGTGTCAGGGTGTTGTTAGAAGTGAAGTAGAACACATCCAGATTTTTTTAAATTTTTTGTTTCTGTGTCTGTTTGTATGGGCTAATCTCCGAAACTGGTGGTACCTTACATCCCCGATCAATATTTTAGATACTTTTAATCACGGGAAATTAAAGAGTTCCCGTTAGATAGTTAAAAAAACTATAGTAACTTATACAGTTTAGTATACAACCTACTTAGGTAAAGTCATTTTGACCTAAGGCAAAGAGTGAGAACGACACGTCATTTGTTAATTTCGGTCCAGTATTCCCGGACAATAAATAGGTAGGTACGTACATCGATACATACTAAACAGGAATAACAAACATCACGCGGACAAAGTCGCGGGCATCAGCTAGTTTTTAATATATTTGTCTTTGTAACCTTGACCTTGGCCGCGGGATCAGGATATGTTTACTGACCGAGATAAGAAACCTATGTCCTCCATCCCACATTATACGTGTATACCGAATCTCAGTGTATTTTTTTTAAATAGCTTTACGGCTTTGAATGTTTCCTTGTAACCCACTTTGGTTAAGCTTTTTTTTTTAATGAATAATAATATAACTGTATCTCCGCCCGTGCTAACAATATACACTGATGGGGCACCAGTGGGGGATGATAACTGAGAATGAAACGGGCAGGCTAGTTAGTCGATCGTGATGAGTACATCTGGAATTCAGCACGATGATTTCCAAAGAGAATCACGTGGAGGTAAACCTTACAGGGTATATTGCTAGCAATGGGATTGGTAGTCCGCATTACTAATAATCTCTTTCCACCCTGGTTAAGCTTTTAAGGCACTAAACAAACACTACTTTCACATTTACAATATTAGTAAATGGATTGACAATTTTTGTAAATGGATTGTCTATTTTTGTAAATGGATTGACAATTTTTGTAAATGTATTGACAATTTTTTTATATGGATTGACAATTTTTGTAAATGGATTGACAATTTTTGCACGATTACAATTTCGGCATTATCAATTAGGGTTAACAAGGTCAATAGTATCGCATTAATCTCTTTTTCCGCTGCCAAAAAATATATGCGAACAATGATTATACACTCATAATGATTGTTACCCAAAGGTCATTAACATCCGAGATAAATGAATCAGTGCACGCATGGACACGTACGCGCCTCTCTGTTTAGTACCGAAATAAAGTTTTCTCCCGAAACGTAAAATGGGCACGTGATGACCGGCAGTTTTGAAAACAAAACTGTTAAATATATGTTTTTACTCTTTGTTCTTTACGCTTACCATTAGACTACAATTTGTATAACTCAGTTATCCCTCTTTATTTTTATGATTCTTCATGAGATGGAACGAGACATTGTCCGACGTCTCGTTTCTGACGCATGCGGTAGCGAAAATATATCTCCCGTAAGTTACACTAGTTACTCGTATAGGGGCAAGTGTGGAGATATAGGTACTTTTTTGTGCAATTTTAGTACTAAATTTGCGTCAAATTAAATCCTGAAAATAAATTTAAACATTAATATATAATACAGACGTATACACTTATAGTTTCATTTTTTTTGTACCATTGAGGTGGCAAACAGGCATACGGCCCACCCGATGGTAAGTGGTTACCGTAGCCTATGAACACCTGCAATATCAGAGGCATTACGCGTGCGTTGTCGACCTTAAAAAAACCTCTTTATCCCCCTCTTGAAGAAACCCATGCTGTAGTCAAAATTTTTTTGGCTCTTTTAAAAACTTTGTAAATTTTGTAAATTGTAATTTTTGACTCTTCCGACTCCAAAAGGTTGCCGACCCCTAGTTTAGACAGATAAGATAAAATTCAAAATTAATTAACATTAATATAATAATAAGAAAAAACATACCAATTGATATATTGTTACCTTGGATTGTTATATACATATATATATTACAAGCGACCTGTTATCTTTTTATCTGTACAATATAATTTATATAAACACAAGATTATTGTTATTTGCGTAATTGTTATTAAAAAAAACGCCTCGTCTTTGTTTTTATGTCAATTAAATTATTTATATTCTACGAGTAGATAGATTATTTGTTTCGTTTTTTTTTCTAACGTTTCTAAACCACAAGCAGCTTAGATGCATGCAGTAGTCTGTCTCACTTTGTAATAATAAATGGATTAATTAATTTATTGTTAAAAATGTGGTACAATAAAGTGGTATGGTATATATTATAAAATTTGATTTTAAACGTATTTATTGTTATGTACTCTCCTTTTTTATATGTACTATAATTAGGCATGATCTATCTATACTTATAATAAATCTGTAAAGAGGTCAATTCTGTAGGTACATGAAATATATTTCCAAAATAACTATCACAGGGTGATTAGTGATCGATACTGATGCCAAAAATGCAATCAGTAAAATTTAAGCCTCCCCCATAGACTGCCATAAAGAACGTTCCTGAGACACCTGCATCCACTGACTCCCTGCAACGCATTTCGTGTCGTCACTCCATCTAGTGGGGGAAGAAGGGTCGTCCTACACTGCATTTGCTCGTACGCGGTCGCCACTCAAGAACCTTTCTTCCCCATCGGTTGTCGGTTCTTCGAGCTATGTGACCAGCCCATTGCCACTTCAACTGGCTTGCTTATCCTACTTTTTTTTTATACAACTTAGAATGGCAAACAAGCTGACATGCCCACCTGATGGAAAGTGGTAACCGTCTTCTATAGACATGAGCAGTACCTATCATGGACATAACAGAGTATACTGTTTTGCCCATGATACCCCCTATGCGTCGCCATTCCTGAGGACTCGGGTGTTATTCCTCTGTACCCAGTAAATTCACGCCATATCCCACCCTTCAAACCGAAACACAGCCATGCAAACACAACTGCTTCACGGTTGAAACACGAATGGGACAGAGGTACCCAAGCAATCGACTTTTGTACAAAGTCTCCCTCTGGTAAAAGTGAAAAGCTTCAAAAAGGAGGAGGTTTTCAATTGTGTTGTATTATTTTTTACGTTTGTTGTGAATATAATAACTTCATAACTCCGTCAACCTGGGGGAAAAAATCCCATTGCTAGCAATATACCCAACCAGGTCGACCACCTCGCGGTTCTCCCTGGAAACTATCATGGTTAATTCCTGATGAATTCATCATGATGGGCTAACTGGCCTGTTTTCATTCTCATCTATCACCCTTCACTGGTGCTCCGCCAGCGTATCCCGTTAGCGCAGGCGGGGTTACCATACAATTTTCACCCATCAAAAAAAAAACTCCATCGACCTCATAACTCAGTCAGTTGTAAATCGATTTGGAAAATTCTTTTTTTTATACGAAGGGATGTACTTGCAGATTGTTCCCATAGAAATTTTATCGAAATCGGTACAGTAGTTTAGTTTTTAAAATAACTGCATTTGTTTGAAATCGTTTTTTTTACTTTTATTATGTTATATATATATATATATGCTTGTATGGAATGTCTTATAATACTGTTGTAAATTATCAAAAATAGTGAATGAATGTTTGTTTTTCATATTTAATTATACTTATGGTGTTATTTCAGATGCCCCGTGGGCGGGACGAGATGCAAGTGAACGTTTCCGGTTTGAGGAGAAATATCAAAAACCTCGCGCACAACTATTCCGATGCTCAGGTATTACGCGTTCGCGTTATGCATATCTAGTATGTGCTTCACTTTATTAACCGACTTCAAAAAAGGAAAAGTTTCCAAAGTCACCAGAACATTTAATATATATATATATATATATATATATATATATATATATATATATATATATATATATATATATATATATATATATATATATACATATATTCGTGTAAATTACATTGTTAATGCATTTATAAATATTGTGAGCAAGGGTGGACTTATCTCTGATAGAGATCTCTTCCAGTCGACCCAATGCAGTTAGAAAGCATGTCGTTAGCGGGCAGCTGAAGTGCTACAACTATTAATATTTAGAATTAAATAAAATATTAAAATATTAAATAAAATATTAAAAGTATTACATAAATACATATACTATAAATATGTATGTTTATCAGGGGTGTTGTTCTCTAGAAATCTGAAAGATTCTAGAGAACGGCATTCTAGAATAAGGGCATACGGGTATGCGACCCCGGCCTCCCGAGCCGCTGCAGTGTCCCAGTCCTTTCCGCAACTGCAGTCCTTCCTCCCCCCCCTTTCTTTCCCACATAAGTCCCTTATTCCTCTCATTCACCAATTTCCTTTACGCATTTCCAGCGTTCCCTTCCTTTTTCCTCAATCCTTTCCTCCATACCGTAGGTGGCGGAAACCACCAACAAATGCATTCCCAAAGAGGGTTGACGTCAGGCAGGCGGCCGGTCGTAAAACTAAAAACCAAATCTTTTTGTAATATGGATAAAATCATATTACGCCGACCCCAAATGATTGGGATAAGGGTAGGAAGATGACGATGATGTTATTTAAGTATGTTACTTGATTTCTCGAAGACCTCTGAACTGTGAGTCTACCATGAAATGAAATTCCGAAATTTCGGACTCAATTTCGTGTTTTTGTTTATACCAAAATCGGACCAATAAATAGAGTTTAACATTTCGTTCGTCATACATCCTATCATAAAAGTCCAAAGGAAGAATATTTTAACATTTTTAATATTTTCAAACGGCATGTATTATGTAATTTTATCATCAAATTTGTGTTTCGTTTGGCTCCGAAATTTCGGAAAACACTTCATGATAGGCCCACTGGTTCGGAAAACTATGTATAAACTTTTATCCTAAAGTATATATTTTCAAATTGTTATATATTATGTCTCGTTCTAAGAATGTTGCGTTGCGAAATAAATCGAATTACTGATTTAAAAAAAAACATAATTGATACCCTTATTTATTATATGTGCTTACATTCAGAGGGAGACTTTGTACAAAAGTCGATTGCTTGGGCACCTCTGTTCTATTCGTGTTTCTACCGTGAAGCAGTTGTGTTTGCATGGCTGTGTTTCGGTTTGAATGGTGGGATATGGCGTGAATTTACTGGGTACAGAGGAATAACACCTGAGTCCTCAGGAGTGGCAACGCATGGGGGTTATCATGGGCGAAACAGTATACTCTGTTATGTCCATGCTACTGCTCATGTCTATAGGCGACGGTTACCACTTTCCATCAGGTGGGCCGTCAGCTTGTTTGCCATTCTAAGTTGTATAAAAAAAAAAAACATTCCCCGGATTTTATCACAACAGCCTACATTGAACAAGGTCACACTATAGTATTTATTATTCTTTTATAACCAAGGAAAACACAGTAAAGCAATCTGATATTGGCGTTGTGAATTTTAATGTTACTCACCTACCTTCCGTAGTGAGTGCCAGCCGAGGTCAAGGTTCGATGCCGATTCGACCTTTGAAATTTTACAGCGGCTTTTCCATTACTGTTTTTTTTTTTACGTATTCAATTATACAAAAAAAAATAGCATTGTTATCGTAAAGTGAGCATGAGTCTATTTCAGTATAAGTAGGTTTATATTTTTTTTTTAATGGATGATAATGGAATGGTAATCCCGCCTGCGCTGTCGGTATACGCTGGCGGGGCACCAGTGAGGGATGATAGGTGAGGATGAAAGAAGTTTAGTTGGCCTATCGTGAGGAATTCGACAAGAATTAACCACGTTGGTTTTCAGAGGGGACCACGCAGGAATTATATATTATGATTTATGTACAATGCTTATTTCAAAGTGAATAATACATATACATAGAAAATAATAATTTCAGCCTGTATATATCAGTGGATACTGAAGTGGATTAGGGATGGGTAATATATAGCAATATCTATATATCAGTTACAATATCTATATATCAGTTACAATATCTATATATCAGTTACAATATCTATATTTCAGTTACAATATCTATATATCAGTTACAATATCTATATATCAGTTACAATATCTATATTTCAGTTACAATATCTATATATCAGTTACAATATCTATATATCAGTTACAATATCTATATATCAGTTACAATATCTATATATCAGTTACAATATCTTAATACTGGTCGAATAACGAATATGTTAAAATTATTTTATAATAATAATAATATATAATTATTATCTATTATTCAAAAAATAATATTTGATAACAGACTTTTAACATATTAGAAAATAGATATCCGACCGATATGGGCGATATTGAAATGGATGATGACCTTTTTCCGCCATTAATGTTCAGAGAAACCCAATATATAGATGTCGCATCGGTATCCATATTAGCCATGCCCACTGAAGATAGGCCTTCCCCAATGCTTTCCACCATGTGGTCCACCTGATGGAAAGTGGTAACCTTCGCTTATAGACATAAGCAGTATAATGGACATAACAGAAGTATACTGTTTCGCCCATGATACCCCCTATACGTTGCCATTCCTGAGGACTCAGGTGTTATTCCTCTGTACCCTGTAAATTCACTGCCATATCCAACCCTTCAAATCGAAACATAGCCATGAAAACACAACTGCTTCACGGTAGAAACACGAATAGGACAGAGGTGCTCAAGCAAACGACTTTTGTACAAGAGCTCTCTGGTAATATATGGCAGAATTATAAAAAAAAAAATCGATTTTAAAGAGCTTGTAAACAAGTCTATTTGATTCTATTCTAATGAAGTTTTTATACCTCATACTCCCAGAAGTGTCAAATGATTGATACCCGTATGCTTCTCCATTTGCAGGTCAAAGTGCGCGAGGCCACATCGAACGACCCATGGGGTCCGTCGAGCACGCTCATGGCGGAGATCGCCGACCTAACATACAACGTGATGGCGTTCACGGAGATCATGCAGATGATCTGGAAGCGGCTGAACGACCACGGCAAGAACTGGCGGCACGTGTACAAGGCGCTCGTGCTGATGGAGTACCTCATCAAGACCGGCAGCGAGAAGGTCGCGATGCAGTGCAAGGAGAACATATATGCGATACACACGCTCAAGGACTTTCAATATATGGAGGAGGGCAAAGACCAAGGTATGGGATTTTTATTAATTCCTAACTTTTTGCCCACTACGTTTTTTTTTTAATGGGTGACAATGGAATGGCAATCCCACCCGCGCTATTGGTATACACCGGCGGGGCTCCAGTGAAGGATAATAGGTGAGGATGAAGTAGGTCAGTTAGCCCACCGTGACGAATTCAACAAGAATTGTTCCCGATGGTTTCCAGGGGGAACCACGTGGTTACCCCATTGCTAGCAATATGCCTTATTAGGTCGTCGACCTAATAAGGCATATTGCTAGCAATGGGGCTGTCAAACTCCATTGCTAACAATCCTTTTCCCCCCTGCCCACTACGTTAGGAAAATCAATGCAATAAACTACTTCTAGGTGGTCTATCAAGGTAAAACATACACCAAATTTTTAGTTAGACCTTTAAGAATATAACTGTAAATAGCATACAATTTGGTGCAGTAGTTTTGCGTGTTGTCGGTACAAATATACAAACAGATAGACAAGAATTCAAAAAAATATTGGTTTCAGACATCTGTTAGTCTCATTAAGACCCTTAATTATCATTTTACTTCCCATTTAAATCCCATGACACATTACATACATACATACAGACATTGTCTACTTATTATTATTTCAGCCATTAACTGTCTACTGCTGAGCATAAGCCTTCCCCATAAGGGGAGTTTTGCCAGTAGTTGCCACGCTTGGCAGGCGGGTTGACAACCGCAGTGAGGCTTTTATAGATGTTTTAAGAGGGAGCAAACTCAAGTTGCTAACCCGCCTGTTAAGTGTGGCAATTACTACAAACCCCCCTTATGGGGGCAAGGGATTGCTAGTAATGCAGACTATCAGTCCCATTGCTAGCAATATGCCCCATAAGGTCGACCTCCACGTGGTCTCCCTTGGAAACCATCGTGCTGAATTCCTGGTGTATTCGTCACGATGGGCTAACTGGCCTGCCTTTTCATTCTCACCTACCTACCACTCAGTGGTGCCCCGCCAGTGTATACTGTAAGCGCAGGCGGGGTAACCATTCCATTATCATCAATTAAAAAAAAAAACCTTATGAGGTTATGTTCAGCAGTTAGACAGTTAACAGCTAACAGCTAATAATACAATACAAAATGTCTTTTTATGCAATATTTGGCACGTGAGAATTGATAACCGACCTTGTATGAATGTCTATGTACAATATACAATAACTACCAACTGACAGGACATTATAAACAATAGGCATATATTCATCATAGCAGCGAGTTCTCCGCGTAATGACGGAGTACAATGTGTCACCACCTCGTGTCTCGTTCTCAGGGAATCGTAAGATGCAACAAAGGGAACGAAGTAAAGAACCAATGTTAAACCGCTTGGTCAGGGGGGAAAGGGATTGTTAGTAATGGAGACTGAGAATCGACCCAACCAGGTCGACCTCTTCGCGGTTCTCCCTGGAAACAATCATGGTTAATTCCTGATGAATTCATCGTGATGGGCTAATTGGCCTGTTTTCATTCTCATCTATCACCCTTCACTGGTGCTCCGCCAGCGTAACCCGTTAGCGCAGGCGGGTCATACCATTTTCACCTATCAAAAAAAAAACCGCTTGCTCAAAGGGATAATGGGCTAATCATCTTTGATAATCGGGTGGAAAGGGATTATTAGTAATGGGAATTTACCAACTCCATTACTAGCAATATACCCTATCAGGTCGACCTCTACGCGGTTCCCCATAGAAACTATAGTGGTTCTTGTAATTCTTGAAGAATTTATCATGACTGATGCCTCGCCAGCGTATACCGATAGCGCAGGAGAGGTTACTATTGTCATCCCATAAAAAAAATAAAAAAGATATATTACTAGCAGTGGGGCGTGTAGTCCGCATTACTAACAATATTCAATTCATGAGGTACCCATCGTTTAAGTTTTTTACTTTCCCAATTTGCTTCAAGTGGATTAATACAGTTTTATCACTTACCCCGAAGCCTGCAGCTATCTCTGAAGTGATTTGTGATGGATCCGCTTCCACAATAACCTTTAATTCTTTAAATATCTCGCTAAGTTAAATATATCTACAGAAAAAAAAGATGTGGGTGCAAATGCATAATATAGGAGACAAAGTATCTCATTTAAGTGTTCAATATTGCTTGTGAGCTTGGGATCATTGACTTCATCACACTAATTACCAGAGGGAGACTTTGTACAAAAGTCGATTGCTTGGGTACCTCTGTCCCATTCATGTTTCTACCATGAAGTAGTTGTGTGTTGCATGGCTGTGTTTCGGTTTGAAGGGTGGGATATGACAGTGATTTTACAGGGTACAGAGGAATAACTCCTGAGTCCTTAGGAATTGCATCATTGGTGAAACAGTATACTCTGTTATGTCCATAGTACTGCTCATGTCTATAGACGACGGTTACCACTTTCCATCAGGCCGTCAGCTTGTTTGCCATTTTAAGTTGTATAAAAAAAAAACTAATTTCTCACAACAACTAAAGCCTCTTTCGTCTACTTCCTAATCTTATGCACAATTTATTAACTTTCAGGTCTAAACGTAAGGGAGAAAGCGAAACAGTTGGTCAATTTGTTGAAGGACGACGAACGATTGAAGAACGAGCGAGCGCGAGCGCTTAAAGCGAAACAGCGGTTCGCGCAAAGCGCTAGCGCGTTCGGCAGTGACGGCGCGCTGGACACGCCGTCCAGTCCAGGCTACCCCACGGTTAGTGAAGCTTAATTAACGAACTTGGGTAGGCAATCAAGTTGACAATTCACTCTATGGAAAATGGTACACGTTTTCATTATAAACATTACATGTACTTCTCATGCGTTGCCGTTTCCGAGGACAAATGCATAGATTTGTGTCCTGTAAATTGTTTACAATCCGTATCATGCAAGCACAGCTGCTTGACAGCAAAATCCTGATAGAGACAGGTGCTCGTTACTCTTTGATAACTTCCTTTTTTTTGTTGTTGCATTACACTTCTCTTTTAAAGTCTGTGTTTTCATCATTTATCACCTAGTTCTAACAGTCCACCATTCCGTATTTAGTATTTGGTCCTTCGAGCCGGATCAACAACACGTTCTAAAAGTAAATCTATAAAAAGATATATAAATAGGTGGAAAGGACTTGGCATTGGTCGGTCGTCATAATACTTGTGAAGAACTTTTGTACTATGTCGCCTCTGATTTGGTGCTAATTTATATTATCGATATTATACTTGTCTTGAGAAATAGCACTGAGATTTACTGTGGTCTCGTTTTTAATGTTTTCATACGTTGAAGAAAGTCATTTGACAAGTTATATTTATTTGCATTATTTTTGTTTGTATGTAGAGTCTTTGTAATTGCAAAGAGATTAAGTTGACCTGACAATGGAGTTGCTTTATAACTCAAGGGGCAAACGAGCATTTTTTTTGTACAACTTAGAATGGCAAACAAGCTGACGGCCCACCTGATGGAAAGTGGTAACCGTCGCCTATAGACGTGAGCAGTAGCATGGACATAACAGAGCACGCGGCTTAGCTGAGGGTACGTGTCCACAGATGAGCAGCAGCGAGTCGGCGGAGTGGGGCGGCGGCGGCGGCGGCGGCGGCGGCGGCGGCGGCGGGCGCGAGGCGGAGCTGGCGCGGCCGCTGACGGCGGGCGAGGAGGAGCTGCAGCTGCAGCTGGCGCTGGCCATGTCGCGCGAGGAGGCCGAGCGCGACGAGCGCCGCCGCCGCTCCGACGACGTGCGCCTGCAGCTCGCCATCAGCCAGTCGCAGAACGACTTCCAGTGAGTGCACGCCAGCGACCCGTTCACCGGGGACACTAGACAATAGACAAATTTAATAATAGTTTTTTCTCAAACATGCTTGGAAATGTGAGCATTATTTTGACAATGTTTGAGATAAATCAAAATTGCCATACTGGCCAGATACATGCGGGCAGCGGCCGGCAAAAGTTGTATGAAAATCCATATCTGTCGTGTTTTGCGGCCAGATAAATTACTATGTAAACTCATATCTGTTCTGTAATTTAAAAATGGAATGACCTTTTCCTTCGAAACATGGCCAAGGAAGTAACTAATAGATGGTTTTATTTAAATTTCGAACTGGCTTGCAAATAGAAAGCTGTTTATTGAAAAAAAAAACATAGGAACATTATGGCGGGTGAAAAATTATTATTGTTCATTTATTCGTCATTGAACTTAAAAAGTAAAATTGTTTTTTTTTTATTTCCGCGCATTGTTTGAGAAAAGTACTATACAAGCCTTGGCAACAACTAGGCATTGATGGACTCACGTATGTGTGCCTCGGCTACACCTCGGCCCACATTTGCATGTTCGTCCATCAATGCCTCAGTTGCTGGCCGCTGCAGTAATGTACTATATACACCCAATATTTATAAATCTAAAATTACTTACTAGCCTGTTTTAATTTTTCTACTGCTTTGTCAACTTTTTGAAAAAAGATTAAACAATTTCTGTTAAGTTCCTATCAGTAAAAAGGGTAGGCAGGAATAGAAATGTATCAGAAATTCCTACCATTATTATTCATTCCTTTTCCTCTCCTCTTAATCCCCATCCTTTAATCATCTCCCAGACTAGAGCAACTCCTCCGTGAAGAGTGGTGTCACCACTACAGCGACAGCTCGGCCCCTCAGGTCAGCCCGGGATGCTGGCTCTACCAGTGCATGGAGTGCCTCCGGCCGTGCATGTCTCAGTGCCGGTTCGAATCCCATGTAACGCCATATGTACCTAAAACAAATTGGAAATTAGCATCCTTTTTAAGGAAGTGTTCTTGTAGTAAAACTGAATACTTTTTACATAAAAAAAAAAAGTACGAGTTTTGAAAGGTGAATTTTACCAAAGGGAGACTTTGTACAAAAATCGATTGCTTGGGTACCTCTGTCCCATTCGTGTTTCAACCGTGAAGCAGTTGTGTTTGCATGGCTGTGTTTCAGTTTGAAGGGTGGGATATGGCGTGAATTTACTGGGTACAGAGGAATAACACCTGAGTCTTCAGGAATGGCACCGCATGGGAGGTATCATGGGCGTAACAGTATACTCTGTTATGTCCATGATACTGCTCATGTCTATAGGCGACGGTTGCCATTTTCCATCAAATGGGCTATCAGCTTGTTTGCCATTCTAAGTTGCATAAAAAGAAAGAGGTTAATCATTAGGCGCCTCCAGTTATTCAGTTAGTATGAAAAACTATAAACTTTTAGGTCGACCTGATAGGGTATATTTATAACAGTGGTGACTAACCTCCCCATTACGAAAGGGATTGTTAGTAATGAAGACTGAGAATCCCATTGCTAGCAATATATCCAACCAGGTCGACCTCCTCGCGGTTCCCCCTGGAAACTATCATGATTAATTCCAGATGAATTCATCACGATGGGCTAACTGGCCTGTTTTCATTCTCATCTATCATCCTTCACTGGTGCTCTGCTAGCGTATCCCGTTAGCGCAGGCGGGGTCATTCCATTTTCATCCAATTAAAAAAAAACCTCCCCATTACTAACAATCCCTTCCCTTCTGAGTACTCGGTTAGATATCCCTTTAAATTTTTCCTAAACATTGTGTATTGTTTTTTTATTTTTATATTTATTTATATTCATCGTGCCTCCGATCAAACTGTTTATAATTACTCCTCTCCATCCAAAGGTTGCCTGGAAGAGATCGCTCTTAGCGATAAGGTCGCCCATTGTTTTCTCACTGTGATTATTTCTTGTAATTATTTATATTTATAATAAGTTTACTATTGTAATCTTTTGGAGGAAACAATAAAGAGTATCTATCTATCTATCTATATATTTATATTGTTAAACAGTTAATCTAAATCAGCCTTTCCCAAAGTGGACGATAATGCCCCCTTGTGGGCGCTGCAGATCTAAAGATGGGGGGGGGGGGGGGGGGTAAGAGATCCAGAAAAAAATGGGTGCGTTTGTAGAGGCTTGGGAGGTGATTTGTTGATCTTGAATTAATAGTGATTTTTAAGTAGGTGAAAAAATGGGGGCGCTAGAAAATAATTTATTCTCAAAGTGGGCAGTAGACAAAATAAGTTTGGGTACCCCTGATCTAAATAAACAAACGTAACATTTCAGGGCAACGGGCGTGGATAAGAAGGCCGAGCCGGCGCAGTCGCACCTGCTGGACCTGCTCGACGTCAACCTGTCGCCCGCCGCCGCCGCGCCGCCGCCCGCGCCCCTCGACCCCTGGGGACTGTCCTCCCCGCAACACACACAGGTCACTTGCCCACACTATCCTTCTACATTAAATGCTTTACTTCGTAAGCTTATCTCTGGTCCTATATGAATATTTCTTTTGCCTTAACCTTTATAATGTCTAACGAGTGAATATACGTTTAATTTTAGTTAAACTTAAAATTAAATTTATTTATTTATTTTTTTATTTAATACTTTACTGTACACACCAATTATAAAAATATGACAGAGGTAATCAAATGTACTCAAGCTTAACTCTAAAAGAGTTCTCTTCCGGCAACACCCAAAATGGAAAGGAACGTCAATGTCAGCGGGTAGAGCAGTGTATAATATTGTGGAAATTTTAGATTATGTTTAATAAAAAAAAATATTTAGAATCGAATAGAAAACATTTATTGCCAGTAAATACACAATCACAATACAAAATATAAAAAATACATATATAAGAAGTGTCGCATACTAGGCAAAAGGAACCGGCTCAGCTGATGCTGTGAGTGTTCCAGCGCAATGTGAACAGCTGCACAGCGCTGGTTTTCAGCCAGTCCCTCTTTTAGCAAAATATAACCAAAGTGCAGGGTACCACTGGAAATATTTAAAAATTTGCTCGTATCTATGCTTGTTGTGGATATGACGTCACAACCATTAACACACACATTAACACGGGCTTGTTTGTCAGTTGTCGCCTATGGACTTTGGTGTGTTCTCCGAGTCTATGGTTAGTCTATGTTGCGTGTGCGCACACCTGTGTCGTGCATTAATATGCTAGCCATTCACAGTATGCTTACAGGTCTATAGTTCAGTGTTTGAAAGGTAATATAAGGGAGCCAACTTGATGGCTCATGATCAGTCGCTTGAAGGGTAAACCTGACAAGCTGAATTGTCAGCGCTGGAGCTGCTGTGTTGAGCTAAGCAAATTATAAAAGCTAAGTGAATAATTTAGTAGGCTTGTATATGTTTTGGTTGTTTTAGTTTTTTTTTTATACAACTTAGAATGGCAAACAAGCTGACGGCCCACCTGATGTAAATCGCCTATAAACATGAGCAGTACTATGTACATAACAGAGTATACTGTGTCGCCCCTGATACCCCCCATGCGTTGCCATTCCTGAGGACTAAAGTGTTATGCCTCTGTACCCTGTAAAATGCCATATCTCACCCTTCAAACCGAAACACAGCCATGCAAACAACTTTTGTACAAAGTCAATGAATAAGAGAGTAAATGGTATCGTGTTGTCCCCAGGAGTCGTCCCCGGGCGCGTGGCGGGCGCAGCAGCCGTGGTCCGCGCCGCCGCCCGACCCCTGGGCGCCGCTCGAACAGGTACCGCTGCTTACTTCGCTTTTGAATAACAACTATCCGTAATAGAGCCATCTATTGGCGACTTCTGGCGTCAATACTATTTTCTATTACCGTGTAAATGCTTTAAACTAGTGTTTTTAAATTTTTTTCATGACACGACTCCCCTAGTGTGAAAAAATTTTTCGCTACCTTCGACTTTTTTTTTGTTAATTTGTAATAACATACAAATGTTTAAATTATCACTGTTCTTTATAAATCTATAATTTTGTTTTTTTTTTTTTACTGATGCAGTTTTCGTGACCCCCCCATATAGAGGCTTTACAACCCCCCTGGGGATCGTGACCCACACGTTGTAAAACACCGCTTTAAGTCGTAAACATACAATCGGATGTATCTATTTTTTTTGGCTTCGGCTTTTTAGGGTAATTAAGGGTTTTTAGGGAATATAGTGGTGAAAGGGATTGCTAGCAATGGAGTTTGACAGCCCCATTGCTAGCAATATTAGCACTATTAGGTCGACCTCTACTTAGTTCCCCCTGGAAACCATCGTGAACAATTCTTGTTGAATTCGTCACGATGGGCCAACTGACCTGCTTCATCCTCACCTATCATCCTTCACTGGTGCTCCGCCAGCGTATCCCGATAGCGCAGGCGGGGTTACCATTCCATTATCACCCATTAAAAAAAAATACAGGAATATAGGTTTTACAGATATGGTATTTATGAGTGTTCGTTCGCAGAACAAGTCGCAGGCGTCGGTCCTGTCGTCGCCGTCGTCGGGCTCGCTCGACCAGTTCGACGCGCTGTCGCAGCGGCCGCGCGCCGCCACCAATGACCACGATCACGACCACGACCCCTTCGACCTCACCGCGCTCGGTAATATAAATATTATTATTATATTTACCAAACTCACATCTCCCCACTTAAGGAGAGGAGATGGCAAACTAACCCCCGGCAGAAGCACAGTCGGCCGGGGTTCAGGGCCCCAGGGAGAGAAACCGGCGTACAATCTGAGAGCACCGCTTTGTGCATCTTTCCCGAGGGTGAACCGCCTCAGAATCCCAACTGTCTGAGATGTTCCAGATTGGTTGGAATAAAACCGCTCACCGACAGAATGATTGGGATGATTTCAGTGGAGGCCACCCTCCACATTTCGGTCACCTCGTGAGCCAAGTCGAAATATTTTCTCTTTTTTTTATACAACTTAGAATGGCAAACAAGCTGTTGGCCCACCTGATGGAAAGTGGTAACCGTCGCCTATAGACATGAGCAGTATCATGGACATAGCAAAGTATACTGTTTCGCCCATGATACCCCCCATGCGTTGCCATTCCTGAGGACTCAGATGTTATTCCTCTGTACCCTGTAAATTCACTGCCATATCCCACCCTTCAAATCGAAACACAGCAATGCAAACAACTGCTTTACGGTTGAAACACGAATGAGACAGAGGTGCCCAAGCAAACGACTTTTGTACAATGTCTCCCTCTGGTCTTTTTCTCGGTTTCGGATAGAATAGATTTATTTGGTTTAAATAAATAATGACAAAGCTCGTATAGAATACATCCCATAAATGTAAGAGATGATACCTGACTGATGATACCTTTCAATCATTTTAAAATAACTCCCAAAAATTACTTCTTGACAAATGTTTGTACACTGTGAATGGTTTTACTGATGTGGGATCGCATGTTGTCTTTTATCGTTGTTATTGTAATGTACATAATGTAATACAATAATTTAATAATTAATATAACATGGTATGTACGAATTTGTTTAATAATTTTAAAAATAAATTAGTTATTTAAAAAAAAAAAAACTATATTCACGTAAATTGCATGCTTAATATGGAACTGTCTACGTATTAAATGAGAACTCTGTATCATCTATTGAAAGCAAATATTCTATTCTGTTCTTTTTTTATATACCACTTAGATGGCAAACAAGCATACGGCCCACCTGATAGTAAGCGGTTACCGTAGCCTATGGACGCCTGCAATACCATACGTATTACGCGCGCGTTGCCAACTCTGAAGAAACCTCTTTACCCCCTTTTTGAAGAACCCCAGGCTGTAGTCTCTTGGGAAAACCTCGGCAGGGAGCTCATTCCATAACCTGAGTGTTCGTGGGAGAAAACATCTCTGAAACCGCGCTGTACGCGACCATTTAGGCTGTAGGGTATGACATCATGTAACAAGGAATTGTGTCCCTTCTCAGGCGACAAGCTGACCAAACCTGCGTCGCCGGCGGGCGTGAAGAAGTCCCCGTCGGCGTTCCTGGGCGAGAACTCCGGCCTCGTGAACCTGGAGCGGCTGCTGCAGCCGCCGCCGCCCGACCCGCCCGCGCCCAACCCCTTCGCCGCGCCCGAACCGCCGCGGCACGTGTTCGCGCCGCCGCAGCCGGTACACTACACTACTGCCTCCTCACACAGTAGTCGCTACCAGTATACCATGTCAGGTCGACAGCCACATAGTCCCCCTGGAAACCATCGTGATGAATCCCAGGTGTATTCATCACGATGAGATAATTGACCTGCCTTTTCATTCTCACCTATCATCCCGCACTGGTGCCTCCTCAGCGTATACAGTTAGAGCAGACAGGATACCTATTTCATTGACATAAATAAAAAAGAGACTGCTTACCACCTTAGTGTGGTGGCAAGTAGAAGGGAAAAGGCATTGTTAGTAATGAAATCTAACAGTCTCATTTCTTATCAGACCGATCTTCACAGGATTCCCCATGCAAAAAAGTTGTGCTGGTGAGACCTGGTGAATTATTCACGATAGGCTAACTAACCTAGCTTCATCCTCTCCTATCATCACTTACTAGTGCTCCATTATAGTAAACGAATTAACAGAAAGTGGCAACCATCACCTATAGACATAAACAACAGCACCGACATGATAGAATACACTGCGATGACAACACCTCATGTGTTACCATTCCTGAGTATTTAAGTATTTAATTAAAAAAAAATATATTATTAACTGAGTGGCTTCTGTATCGACAGGCGAGATTAACAATCAACGAGTTAAAACAACAACAATTGGGCTTGAGCGGCCTTAGTTTTCCGAGCGTGGCCGCGGCGGACCCCTGGGCGCCCGCGGGCAGTACGGGCGCTGCGCTGCCGGCGCAGCGGTCGCAGTCGCCGTGGTCGCCGCCGCATTCGCGCCAAACGCCCAACCCGTTCCTCTCCTAGCCGCAGCGATCTACCGCCCAGGTTTGTTCCCCTACTCATTACATGGCAAGTATAGCCCACTGTTTGCAGAAACCACGGTGGTCTCCATGACAACGGCGTGAAGGTTAGATTGGCGACAGTAGGGTTACCATTTTCTGTTTTACTTGTTAGTAACAGAACCTTATTGCTGGGGGAAGTACTTCCAATATATCTGATGGTTGGTATGTAGGTGACGTTACGTCTCCGTGAGTTGTGGCCTTCCTGAAAAACAAAGGAATAAAATAAAGAAGCATCCGGGATCAATATTTTTAATCAATAATACTTCAGATATAAGGTTAGTGTAAGACCTAATAAGACATGGATGGACTGTGTGAAAGATGGTATGCCCAGAATAAGAGTGAAATTGCGGAAATGACTGTGGATAGAGAAGAATGAAAGAGAAAAAAATATTACGCAGACCCCAAACAAATGATTGGTATAAGGACAGGAAGATGATGATTATACCTTTCTTGAGATCTCGGATGCTTTTATTTATTTATTTTTATTTTTTGTTCCTTAGTAAAAAGCACTTAAAAAACCGCACAATGAAACTCCTATTCTTGATTTGTACTAATAATAAATTCCTACATTAACACCATCTAGTGGTAATTATTGTAACCATTGTAGTACCATTCCATAATGCTAGATGGCACTGTAAATAATTATAAAAGTAAGCACGATCCAGTGGTAGAAGAACAATATTCAAAGTACAATAAAATGTAAAAATATGTCGTTACAGAGTGGAGGTTAACCAGTGTGCCGCGCCACTGCACGCACTCGTCGCTTATTGCTCCACTACACTACACTACACTACACAACCCACACTACACAACTCACACTACACAGCACACGCTGCATAACTCACACAACACAGCCCGCACTATCCGAGCATCACTGTGTGTGATACCACTATTTATTGAATGTGCTGCTCGCGATACTATATCCGTGATGTAAAATTGTAAATTATTGTCTCCTATTAACAAATATTGTTTTGCATTACTAAATTAATTTGTTAAAGTGCTCATGCTGTCTTTTTCTATTTGCATAGATTAAAAAAGTCTTTGTTTTGTGTGTCACACACAAAAAAAAAAAATTAAAAATAAATTGGTCCAAATTATTGTATATATTATCGTTGTCTATCAAATAAATTTAGTAATGCATTAGAATTGCAATATTGAATCATTAAAACGACGCGTCCGCTGCTCCAGAATCTAAATAAATGAATAAGAAATCAACTACTTACATTCTTATACGATTTTAAAGATTTATTTATATGTAAAAAAAAAAAAATATTAAATAAAATATCATAGAAATTGGTACGCAACGGACGGGTCGTAATCACAGTGTATAGAACAGCCAGTAGTCCAACGGTTAGTCGGGAACCATTGCGGTAGTGTCCGTTGGACTGCTGGTAGTATTTCTTTAGACTGTGCACTAATAGTCAGGTAGTTGAGTGCTCACAATGGGAGTGAAATACAGTGATAAGTCACAATAAACCTACACTCCCCTACGCCATGATGAAAGGGCGCACACCATGGGAGTACCAACGACTGTTATACTCAAATTAGCGATTTCCAATATTTCCGAATGATATTATTTTGTAAACGGCTGTTACAAAGTTGTGTTACAAGCTAGTTTGTTAAAAAGTGTGTTAAAAGCTAGTTTGTTGTCCTGGCACTGTGCCAGGACTACAAACTATATTGTAGGTACCATTGCTAGCGGCATAAGCCTCCTACTTGAGGATAATTGCCAGTTACCACGCTTGGCAGGCGGATTGGCAACCGCAGTTTAGGCTTTGGGGGTATTCTAAGAGGGATTGCTGTCCATCTCTCGCCCTCCTTTAGTCGTCTCTTACGACACCCACGGGAAAGGAAGGATATACATAATACGGGTACCCAATACAAATTGTAATTTATAAATCAAATTTGACAAACAATACAGAGACTAGAGTTATTTTTGTTTTATTTATCATGTATTTTTTTTTTCTATCTAACAAATGTTGCTAGTCTTAAAAAAGTGTCCGTTTAAAATCTAACAAAACAGTGTTGCTAGCAAAAAAATTTACTTAGTGACACTACTAGGTTATTTTTTTTTTGTTAGATTTTGACGCAACGGAACAGGTGTGCGCCCTTTTAAAATATGCTAAATGTAGTATGAAATTACAATATATTTTTGTACGCCGAATGTAATTGTTTATTATCAATGGTTTTTCGGTTGTTAAATTTTGGATGAAAATAATGAAAAACTGAAATTTGACTCGACATGACCTTTAGCATTGTACCGGTATGAAATATTTTTGTATTAGCACTGTTACACTTGATTAATTGCTTTTTAAGAGATGGATTTAGACGAGGTGATTAATTTTTGGTATGAACACGCTAAGTGTGTTCTCTCGCTGCTCGAGTTCGTTCTTCTTGTAGTCTAAATCCACCTTTATTATAACTGTATCATAATTTATTTATTAATACTTGAAATACAATTGCACTGGCATTGTTGACTGTTTAACTCCGCCCTACAAATATCGTCAATGTACATGGAGAGTTTATGTAAATAAGTTAGGGAAATAATAGATTTAAACTAAAACAAAGAATCATTAGAAATCCCGTCGTTTGAGAAATCTTTTAAATTGTATTTTTTTTTTTGTTTATTAATATATTTACACTAATATTATAAAGAGGAACGATTTATATTTTTGTATTGTGTGTATGTATGTTTGTAATGAATAAGCTCAAAAACTATTTTGCCGATTTCAAAAATTCTTTCACCATTAGACAGCTACATTCACCCTAAGTAACATAGACCATATTTATTGCTAGAAAAGATTGGGGATCCTTACTAAAACTTTAGTTACGTAACTCATGGTGTAAAAAATGCTATAAAATATCTTTCGTCGCGTGCGCTGCGGAAACTATTGGTGATAGAACAAAAGTATGTTGTACAATATTGAAGAAAATATCAATTACTACAAAAAACTTCGCGACACTATACGTCTCTTTTGTTTTTCTTGGTAGAACAGACTCTTGTACTAATGGTTTTTTAATCTATATTAAGTATTTATAAGTGGTTACCAAGAAATTACTTAAAAATTCTTCTAAGCGGGTTAAAGGAGGCATTTCATTATCTACACAGCTATTTTAACTATGCCTGTTCAAATATATATATGTATGTATGTATGTATAAAAACAAATTCAGTTTTTTAAATTCAAAAACACAAACAGAAAATTGCATCTGTCTAGATTTACATAAATTCTCTATAGCATGTGAAGTGGAGTAACAATTTATTTTATTCACCAACAACTAACGCTTAGCGATGTGAACTGGTCATTGACTTCATACATCTAGATAACGCCGTCTCTACACGTGTAGATATAAGGGTTATTTTCGTAAAACTATAATGTACAATGTAAGTCCTCGCCACAAAAAGCTAGATTTGGTTTTAAGATACAATAACGATATTAAGCCAGTGAAACAAATATTTTTTTTGAAATATAAATAATTTTTGGATTTCCTAATATAATAGTAAGTTGACAGGTGATATTGGAAGCTAAAAAATTGTTGCTATGCAAAAAATTTACTGTTACACTGGTGTTTAAGTTAAAAATATGGTATTTATTTCGATTGCATATATATATATATATATATGTGTACATGTATATTAAACATATTTCTTTCACGTGAAAGAAAGAGTCTAGATAAACTAAAAATTATGTTGGTACACTTGATACGACACGACAGACTTATGAATGTCACAATAGATAGTAAGATAGAAGGAAAGAGGGGAAGGGGGAGACCAATACATACATAGTTCCATCAGGTATATCAAAGGAAATGTTGGTGTCGTGTCGTACCAAGAGGTGAAGAGACTCGCTGCGAATCGTAGTGAGTGGCAAAGAGGTCATAAGATGGTTGGTCACGAACAAAATTAGACAAGAAGTTCTAGATGTCGCTGGAATCGACACTTGTGGTTTTTTATTTATTATTTTGTAATTAAAGATAATTTAAATTGACGAATGGTTTTTATTATTATGTATAAGTGTGAAATGACAGATAATACTTTATCCGAATGAATTATAACTCACACAATTGCAATATTTCTTGCTATTATGTGGTTTTTCACAAAGTTGTACAATACAAGAGAATAAGGACAAGAATTATGATAAATTTCCACTATATCGGTAAAGAATAAATAAATCAATTCGCCAATTTAGATTTTTTTCTTAAATTATCTTTAATTATAAAATAATAAACAAAAATCACAGGTCTTGATTTTAACGCCATCTAGTAGTTCGTGTCGAAGTTGTTCAGTGACCTTAAATTTAAATGAATGAATCAAATGTTGTAAACTGATAATTATGTAGTCACAAAATTGATAACTTCTCGTGGCAGTGACTAATGTTAGAAATATTAAACTGAATTGCCTGCAAACGTGTTTCACGCTGCAGATTTGAAAAAGTCACAAACAAAATGTCGATGGCTTAGGCCCCATTCACACTGCAGTATTGTAATTAGGATATATCGTGCTAAGTGCGTGACGTCTATATTTCATTATAGTACATCTACATGGTTGTCTAATCTGTATATTCACTTTCTAAGGATAATTCTTAACTATATATCCCTTTCAGACCTGAACGATACGGGCGTGAGTTGTAACTTTAAAAAATTCTAAAACCGCGCGCAATTAATTTTTACGCACGAAGCTGAAATAACATGATAGTGAGATTCTAAACCAGCCAACAAGAAATCATTTTAGCGGCTAGGCGGTGCAGTAGTCTCGTGCGTGCCGGCAAGATGGCTTCGCCCCAAAACACGAAAATATATTTAATCTGAAAGAAAAAAAATCTTGGGTCTGAAGGGGATATAGAGTCTGAAAAACTTGTATTTGCAATGTGAATGAGGCCTTAGTTCGCAAATGTGCTAATTACACAATTGTCAGTTTTGTAGGAGAGCTGTATTTGTTAATATATACATATTTACGTGGACAAGTTGTCCGATTTATACAAATGTCCAATAATACCATAATTTATTATAGATAGAGAGAGAGAGAGACGGCTGTATAGCATTTATAAATGAGAGCGAGCAGTGTAGAAAATGTAGCACGTCTAGAAATAAAAGTTTTGTAATTAGTACAAGTGTGAACTGAAACACTGATATTAAAATATATCGTCGGACTCCTGAGCAATTTATAAGTGTTTTTTTTTTTTTTTTTTTAATGTGAGTGGGTGAGTGATAACTATGTGAACAAGTTTATGAATATGAACTAAAACTATTTACGCGGTGTAGGATAAACAATATTAATTATTAATATAGGACAGACGTAGCACTGGCTGCGCGCAATTATATTCTGTATTTACTCTAACACTGTGTTGCGTACCAACCTACGTAGATGAAGCTATGGTTACCTTTTCTGTTACTGGCTAGTTACACTCACGATAGATGCGATTCTGTATCTAAATGAAATACTGCCTATTTTTCCTTTGGACAATTCTTAATCCTTTTTTTTCTTTTCTAAATATTTTTTATAATAAATAACATGCACACTATTTATTATAATGTCTACCAATGATTTTGAAAAAAAAGTTACAAGCATAAACGAAATATAGACATAACGTTAAATTAACTTCTTCTATTTATTCTTATTTCATCCCTTTCAAATTTATATTCTACTATTTTCTATTACTATCTATATCTATGTCTACTACTATCATAACATTGAATGCCCAAAAATTATATAAAAAAACAAGATCACTTTAACTTGATCGTGTTTGGATACCTTTATAATGTCCATTGCAGAAAAAAAAAAAACATAGCTGTCAAATTTATTTTTTTTTCCAACCATTTTTCCTTTAATTTTGAACATGAATTATATCACCTTGATATATTTCACAAATAAAAAGAAAATCATGCAAAGAAGGATTAAGGAATAATATGGTCGAAACAGGCTGTTTTGAGTTTTGTCATCAGATTTTTTTTGTCTGATTGTTCAATGCACAGGTGTGCTAATTCGAGAATTTTACTACAACTTAGACATAGAAAATCATTTAAAATTTACTAGTTTATTATTAAATAATTGGGCAGCTATAACCCTGTATCTAAATTGAACGGTTTTATTGGTAATCATTGGTAACGAATAATAACGCGGCGCAATCAAATGCAATTGTCACAGAGTATAAATGTGTGCAGCCAATTAAGACAGTTAGGTACGGTATACAAAATAATGTAAATTAACATTTTATATAGACTGGATAACGCTGTGACGTATTATAGGCGTAGGTTCGGTCGACGCTGACGGGGCCTTACTCGATATCTGATTGTATTTAATTACATATATATATATATATCTATTATACAATATTGTATTCATAATTGATTTTCATTTAGTGTGGACAGGACAGGACAGGACAGGACTGGACAGGACCAAGTGAACGGTGTTTTTAAGCTAACAAAAATGTCTTTGTAATTTTGTTTTTAATTAATTTGTTGATGTAATTTTATTGATTCCCAACAGCTGTATGTTATTATTATTTTCATTTTATAAATATAAAATTGTAATTGTAAAATGAAATATAACATTGATTATAAATTAATGTATGTATCATTTTTATATTGTCCATACACATTGGATTTTCTTTATTTGATGGGTGAAAGTGGTGTGGTAACCCCGCCTGCGCTAACGGGATACGCTGGCGGAGCACCAGTGAAGCGTGATAGATGAGAATGAAAACAGGCCAGTTAGCCCATCATGATGAATTCGTCAGGAATTAACCATGATAGTTTCCAGGGAGAACCGCGAGGAAGTCGACCTGGTTGGGTATATTTTTTTTATGCGTGAAAATGGTATGTCAACCCCGCCTGCGCTAACGGGATACGCTGGCGGAGCACCAGTGAAGGGTGATAGATGAGAATGAAAACAGGCCAGTTAGCCCATCATGATGAATTCATCAGGAATTAACCATGATAGTTTCCAGGAGAAATCGCTAGGAGGTCGATCTGGTTGGGTATATTGCTAGCAATGGGATTCTCAGTCTCCATTACTAACAATCCCTTTGCCCCAGTTAATTGGATTTGAATGTCATTTGGTGATGAGGAAAGATATTTTCCATAGATTTTCTTTTTCTTATAAGAGTTTCCTCTTGTTGAGGCAAGTAAATCATGTATTCCATTTCAGGCCATATCTTTGATCTCCCTATGCGATATGACATATACATACGCATTAGTCATTAAAAAAAAGTAACAATATAGTCGCCTACGTCTATAACTCTGCAAGATTTATTCTTTGTCTATGTTCTAATTTCTGTATTTTTTTTTTATTTTTCCTTTTGAATATTCATGAACATTTATGGTGCTAGTCATGTCTATAGGTGAGTGACAACTTTACATCAGGTGGGCTGTCAGCTTGTTTGCCATTTCGAATTACATACTCGTATATTTTAGAACAAATTATCAAAGGATTTTGAGTGTACCTACATTTATCTAGATAACAGTTTTTAATTATTTTTGTGTAAAGAACGAATCAAATAAAACACGATCCACATACAATATGATTATAATTTATTAATTAATAGTTTACAAAGACATTATCGTACAAATAATAAATTTCAGGATCAGCAATGTTGCAGTACAGATACTTATGTAAACATTTTGTTTATTATAAAAAAAACATGATTACAAATTTACGAGATACTTTTCCCGCGGGGCAAGTAACGCGCCGGGAGTACATACATACGGTTACACTTATATAATCGCTTATATACAAGACATATATTACGCACCAGTATTACAAAATGTGTTCACATGTAAAAAAGTAAAAAATCTCCCGGGTGAAGGCCTCAAGTACGCGATATCATGGGCCGGACGACTATCGGAAGCGGTGTCCCATACAAAGCTTAATCCTATTAATGTTACTTACAATAACTTAACTAGTCTTATATCCATTAACTAGTTATAGGCCAGACTCCGTGCGGTATTACGATTTGAGCAACGTACGGGCCACAAACATTGCGTCAACGCTGCCAGTATCACGCTCTCCTAACGAGATGCGCACGCGTCTGGTATTGCGTCAATCCCTGTTGAACTTAAATTAATTACGGAACAATGAATTTACTGTTGTCTCAACTCTGTAGGCATCAGTCTCACGATGTTAACATTTCACTAACCTACGAGAGATGGCGTTGTCGCCTTGTGCCGGTACAAATGTATAAAATCCATCGACTAGACACTAATATACCCAATAAATAGTCTCCAAATATCCAATAATGTCCCCCGATACTAATAATTATCGTTAACCTAAAAATAAATAATTTCCAAGCACGAGCGACGGTCACAAAACATTAAAAATATATATATATAATTTGAATGAAGCAATAATGACGGCAGATCTATAGAGAATAGAGAAAAATAAATCTATGATTACAATATAATTAAGTGAAGCGATATTTTCATTTGATCACATTCGCGCACTCGCGCGACATATACCTTAACGTATTAAATGCAAATCCGGCCGGCGCGCCGCAGTTGACGCCCTCGTGATTACCACTTTTTTTTTCTGCAGAATGTGCGTCGACAATGCTTCCGAGCATTGACTAACATTCCCTTTTTCACATTATATAATACCATTGGCAGCAGATTCTCCCGGAATCAGCTGATTGGGTCGTTCGGACGCCGCCATCTTGTGTACAATCTACGCGTAATGGCGGCAGGAAAGTTCAAGATGGCGTCAACTGCGGACGCGCTCACATGCGGCGTTTCACATTCTCAACCGATAAATTAAGTCCCACGCCAAATCGCTAGCAGATTCCAAAACGTAAAAATTCTAACTCGGATACGCTATTGGAAGAGTATTGTGGAGTAAAGAGATTCATTCGAGCGAACCGAGCCGGTTTGTTGGTTGTGGGGTGGCCGAGCGTCAAGCGAATCTCTACGGGGGGGCTGATTTAGTACTCCCAGTGCGTGGCGGTGCTGAGGTCGGTGCCGACGAGGCGGAAGTTGCCGTTTTTGGCGGCAGCGAGGTACTCGCGCGAGGCGGCCGCGCGGATTGCGAGGCGTGTGGGCTCACGCAGCTCCAGGTGGAAGCCTTGCGGCGAGTCCGAGTCGCACGTCACGCTCTCGCTGTCCGCGTGCCAGTATTTGCCGTTTTGTCCTGGAAACAATAGTTTTAAAGTTTAATAATGATACATTTAAAGTTTCTTCCTTCCTCCTATACAACTCGACCTTGCAGATGAATTATGATGGTAAATATCATCTATAGAGATGCCCCACCCTTCAAACTGGACATCCAGGGAGGTAGAGAATAGCTAGTAACAAGATCCAGCTGTCCCGTCGCTAGCAGTTTACCTTGTCAGGTTAACCAGAGGGAGACTTTGTACAAAAGTCGATTACTTGGGTACCTCTGTCCTATTCGTGTTTTTACCGTGAAGCAGTTGTGTTTGCATGGCTGTGTTTCGGTTTGAAGGGTGGGATATAGCAGTTCGGTTTGAAGCGTACAGAGGAATAACATCAGACTCCTCAGGAATGGCAACGCATGGGGGGTATCATGGGCGAAACAGTATACTCTGTTATGTTCATGGTACTACTCATGTCTATAGGCGACGGTTACCACTTTCCATCAGGTGGGGCGTCAGCTTGTTTGCCATTTTAAGTTACATAAAAAAAACCTCCATACGGCCCCCTTGGAAACCATTGTAATTAATTATTCACGACGTGCTCTGCTTTCATTTTCATCTATCATCCCTTACTGCCCCGCCAGCAGCATTCTATAATATTTCTTCGTAAAAAACTGGTTACCTTTGAAGTAAACGGCGCCCTTGGGTCCGCGGATGACCTGAATGGTTTCGTAGTTGGCCTTGTTACACTCTAGCTTCACACCCTTGGGCCCCACGAACCCTTGCTCGCACTTCAGCACCAAGATAGGCCTGGAGACAAATAAAACAATTTACATTCAACATTCTTGCAAAAAGTAATCTTTCCCCCCTCCTAAAGCTGTTTGAAAAGTTGCCCGACCATAAATCTATCCTTTTTATGGTCGAAATCATGACCGGAACTACACGTAACGCACTACTGGGGGAAAGGGATTGTTAGTAATGGAGACTGAAAATCCCATTGCTAGCAATATACCCAACCAGGTCGACTTCGTCGCGGTTCTCCCTGGAAACTATCATGGTTAATTCCTGATGAATTCATCATGATGGGCTAACTGGCCTGTTTTCATTCTCATCTATCACCCTTCACTGGTGCTCCGCCAGCGTATACCGTTAGCGCAGGCGGGGTTACCATACCATTTACACCCATCAAAAAAAAATATAAATAGCTTTACTAGGACTGACCTGTTGATGAGATAGAAGTAGTATTTGCAGTTGTCATCGATGGAGTCCGCGTTGGCGTACAGGTGTCCCGAGCGCTTGGTGTTCAGGTACTTGCCGTTGTTGGCCCTGAAGGCCACCGCACCGTCGCCCTGCCACTCCAGCTCGAACAGAGCATTTGACGACCTAAGAACCATAGCAAGTTACAGTTTTAACAACTTGATCTGGCAAATAAACTCATATAATGGAGGCAAAGTGATTGTTAGTGAGACCCCATAGGTCTTCCAGTGTCATTGCTGGCAATTTACCCTGTCAGGTCGATCTCCACGCGGTGCTCCTTAGAAATCATCGTAGCTAGTTCATGTAGATTTCGTCATGATGGGCTAACTGACCTGGTTTTATTTCCACCTATCATCATTCTCATCAGCGAGGGGCGATAGATCGATATACAGCATATATCAATTGCCGATAGCGCAAGCGGATTTACCATTCCATTTTCTGCCCATTAAAAAAGAATCCATATGATGGTCTTAACTCGCTTATAGACATGTACAACATCACGAGCCTGTTAGCTATGTTGCTTTTGCTAAGGACTACTGTGTAATGCCTAGTCTATCCCATATAATTAATGTATACCACATTTTTTTTTAATTGTAAAGTTTGGCCACCCCTATTCCTTTCCCATGAATGTCGTAAGCTGCGATTAAGGCACAGCGAGGAATGGGCAGTAGCGTCCATCTTGAAATGTCTCAAAAGTCCAATTGCGGTTGCCAATCCCCCTACCAAGCGTGGCAATTACTGGCAAAACCCCCTAAGGGGAAGGCTTATGTTCAGCAGTGGACAGTTAAAGGTTGATATAATGATTGTAAAGTTTAAAGTACCAAGAGGCAAATGGTAACGAAGGAACAAAGTCACTTTTACATTTATAATAGCGGTAAGAATTTATATTTCTCTATTCTTCTCTCACATAGCAAAATCTTTGATCATGTCAGGTAAATCAAGGTGTCAGAAAAGAAGGTTCAATCTACTGACTTGTTGTCCCCGCTGGCCTGGATGCCACCGCCGGTCTCCAGGGTCCAGTAGCGGTCCTGCATGGTGCGGATGTACCAGCGGCGCGTCGCCCAGTCGAACTCCAGCTGGAACGTCTCGTGAGACGAGATCTCGTCCTGGTTCGCAGTCACGTCCACACCTGCAAATGTATTTACATGTTAACAATATACTTTAAATACAATTTATTTTTGAATATAATCCTAAAATCAGGATGATCTGCCATGACTTTTCCCCCGTACTTTTACAAACGGATAAAACCAGAACTTGCTGTTAAAATAAAGAAAAAAAAGCTTGTAAAATGACAGAATGTTTCTGTTGATAAACGGTGGGTTAATTTTTAGTGGACTACGTTTTATAATGATAACATCATGAACTCAATGTTTCCCTGAGACCACTGATCACATAATTTGGAGTCGCTTCTCTAAACAGGCAGTTTAGAGCAAGGAGACATTTTTTTGATGGATGATAATGGCATGGTAACCCCGTCTGCGCTAACGGTATACGCTGGCGGGGCACCAGTGAGGTATGATTGGCGAGGATTAAAAGGCAAGTCAGTTAGCCCATCGTGTTGAAAACACTTGGAATTCAGCACAATGGTTTTCAGGGGGGACCACGTGGAGGTCGACCTGTTAGGGTATATTGTTAGCAATGGAACTGATAATCAGCATTACTAACAATCCCTTCCCCCCTGCAAGGAGACTATTAATGAGTATCCACTGAGTACACCATCTACACAGTTACGCTTATTCAGACAAGAGTGATCAAGAAGAAGAACTTTTATGAGGTTAAAAATAGGTTTCTTTTAATAGATGATAACGGAATAGTGATCCCACCTGAGCTATTATTGTTCATTACGATATGTATAATAAAATTATTATTCAGGGTGCCTGGCTCCTTATAAAATATACATATTTACTCTCGAATATGTCTTTACGAAGCTTCGTTCGCATCCTTAAATGTGCCTGTCGCTACACGGCTAACGTAACGAGTATTTTGAGTAATAATAGATTATTAACTACAATCGTTCCATGATCAATGGTAAAAGTTAGCCTGATAGAGTATATTCTCTGTAAGTTTTGATATTTTTAATGGATGATAATGTAACGGTAATCCCGCATGCGCTAACGGTATACGCTGGGGGGAAAGGAATTGTTAGTAATGAGGACTGAGAATCCCATTGCTAGCAATATATCCAACCAGATTGACCTCCTCGCGGTTCTCCCAGGAAACTATCATGGTTAATTCCTGATGAATTCATCGTGATGGGCCAACTGGCCTGTTTTCATTCTCATCTATCATCCTTCACTGGTGCTCCGCCAGCGTATCCCGTTAGCACAGACGGGGTAACCATACCATTTTCACCCATAAAAAAAACCGGTATACGCTGGTGGGCCCTTAGTGGCAGATTATAAATGAAGGAGACTAAATGCAGGTCAGTTAGCCCATCATGATTAATTCAACAGAAATCAGTTACGATCATTTCTAAGGGGAACCGCGTGAAGGTTCTATCTGATTGGGTATATTGCTAGCAATGGGGATTTTAAGCCCTTCACCCCTGTAGGTTTATAGTTAGGTGAACAGATTAGTGAATTTTAAAAATCCTGATTAGGTGGACTATAATCGAATTAGCTTGATCATTTCCAAATTCCGCCATTTCCGAGATAATTCGGTCGTTATTTTTGTAACAATAGAACGCCATCTCGGCACCTCGACGTGTTCTCATCCGCCAACGAACACATGAGTACGTGGGCAGCGCACCGTGACTCCGCCTGCTTCTCACTATCTCATATTTATTTATTTTACACTTTATTGCACCAAGTAAAAAGAGAAATAACAAATACAGTAAATATTAATGAGAAGTGATACAAAAGGCGACCTTATCGATAAGCAATCTCTACGAGACAACCTTTGGGTAGAGGACATTGAGAAAAAGACAAAGGGTAGGTGGCGCACTATTATATAAATATTATCATATACAAACATATATACATACATACATACACATACATATATAATATATACACAATTAAATATATACATAACATACACATACTTAACAGCACACATACAACAGAAAAAATAAATAATAAAGTATATAATACAACTACTCATAGACACGAGCATTGTATTTTAATTTAAAATACACGGTAAAATTAAAATCAGTGACATCTCTTTAAGTGAGTATTCTAGATCTATTATTCTCATATTCTAGAAGTATTATTATTAGTATTTTTCTCATTGACACATCAAAAAAATTTATAACATTCATGGGGAAAGAATATTTTGATGAGCGTTCTAAAACAAAAGGTATTTCGTATAAAACAATTCAATGCGCAGCTTCTTCCGATATCTTGGTTTGTAAATTTTAAAGATCAGATATGGTCACTCCGTCCATCAATCAAGAAAGTTTGCATATTTCATGAAAGAAGAAAATTTATCAAATTGTATTGTCTGTGAAAAGCTGAACCCATTGATGGAATGTGATAGGAACCGAAGCGAAAGGAAAACATTTTGAAAAACATTTAACAATAATTAATTGGATGTGGGCATCGTTCAGAGCATAATGCTTGCTCCTAATGCCAAAATTGTCTTGTGCTTAAGTGAATTGGTAAGTAGAATTATTAAGTTACAAATATAGTTACATGTTAAAAAACAAAAATCCCAAATTAAAAGCAGATAAAAATGATATGATAGTGTCATTAAGGATCATGGATCATTTTTTAACTCCTTTCAAATTGCAAGATCACGTGATCGATTGAAAACAAAGGTGAATTAATTTATCGACTGTAAAATAACTGTACAGCTGTATAGAAGTGAGCCGACAGCTTGGAAAGCCCGAGATATGGGAATAACGGTGAGACACATCGCTCCAGCCACCAGCCAAACACTAGACACGAGTGGGCAATTAGCATACTCATCGTGGATTGAGTACGCATGGAGTACACAGTTATGGAACATCTCGGCAAGTATTTTTAACTCATTTAATAAATACGGAGGCTTCGTATTTTTAAATGCAGGCACAACACGCCATTAGCGGGGTTAAAGTAATAATGACTCATACCCAGACAGTATTTTTTTTAAATCATTAAACCCATTTTAGGATACTTTTATTATTTATTACATATAAGTTTTAATTTTCCTAATAAAATTTAAATAAAATGTCAAATGAAATTATTTTTTTTTATACAACTTAGAATGGCAAACAAGCTGACGGCCCACCTGATGGAAAGTAGTAACCGTCGCCTATAGACATGAGCAGTACTATGGACATAACAGAGTATACTATTTCGCCCATGATACCCCCCATGCGTTGCCATTCCTGAGCACTCATGTGTTATTCCTCTGTACTCTGTAAATTCACGCCATATCCCACCCTTCAAACCGAAACACAGCCATGCAAACACAGCTGCTTCACGGTAGAAACACGAATGGGACAGAGGTACCCAAATAATCGACTTTTGTACAAAGTTTGCCTCTGGTGAGACGTATACATTTAGTAGTACGTACCACGACGTAGTGGTAACCGTCGCCTATGCGACGGTTACCACTTTCCATCAGGTGGGCCGTCAGCTTGTTCGCCATTCTAAGTTGTATAAAAAAAAACGTTCCGTGAGAAATACTCATGATATTTGCATGACGTGTGTGTACAATTATAAATTCGATGGTATCGATCCACAATTATATATTACGGTCGATTGCTCGACGCGATGGGCCGTACAGCCGTCCAGCCGTCCAGCCGTCCGCGGTAATTCACCAACTTTTTGCAATAGCCGTCGCCGTAGCACTTCTGCCGCAATTATCTACACGATAATTTAATTAGGAGACTACATAAACACGATATTTTAGATGCTCAGGAGAATACGTAGGTAGGAGATTTACCAAAGGGAGACTTTGTACAAAAGTCGATTGCTTGGGTACCTCTGTCCCAGTCGTGTTTCAAGCGTGAAACAGCTGTGTTTGCATGGCTGTGTTTCGGTTTGAAAGGTGGGATATGGCGTGAATTTACTGGGTACAGAGGAATATAACACCTGAGTCCTCAGGAATGGCAACGCATGGGGGGTATCATGGGCGAAACAGTATACTCTGTTATGTCCATGGTACTGCTCATGTCTATAGGCGACGGTTACCACTTTCCATCAGGTGGGCCGTCAGCTTGTTTGCCGTTCTACGTGGTATAAAAAAAAAGATGCCTTAATATTTCTGTCCTTGGGATGCGACTTTGCGACCGCCTTAAAAAACGCTGGTTAAATAACGTGGTCCACATGGAAGCCAAGAAGTTTAATTAAAGTGGAGGAAATTGAGTCAAAAGGCAGATTCTGGTAAAAGCTAGAATTAATAATACCAGGTAGAAGAACAAGTTGAGGGATTAGCAGTAGCGTCCCTCTTAAAACATTACCAAAGCCTTACTGCGGATGCCAACTCTGCCTGCCAAGCGTGGCATCTATGGGCAAAACTTTTCTAATGGGAAGGCCTATGTTTAGGAATGGACAGTTAACGGCTGATATCATAATATTAAAAATATCTACGTGCGTGAATGTAACCGTACTCCGGTGGGCACGTCTAATCCAAAAAAATGCAAGTCCGAGAATCTATTAGAACAAACCGTTTGTTGTAATCGATTTCGCATTGTTATCAATAACGGAAACTGAACATTGTTTGGATAGGGATGAACCCTTGTTGTCTGTCAACGAGACCCGCAGCGATGAACGGAAACAAGATTATTAGTGACAGATACAAGTAACTATATAAAATGTTGCTGTAGTTACTGTGAATACGTGACGGTAACTCGATTAATGTTAAAGGAGATTTTGTTTTCAATCTAAGCTGTATTTTGGTTTAAAGGGTGGGATATGGCGTGAATTTACTGGGTACAGAGGATAACACCTGAGTCCTCAGGAATGGCAACGCATGGGGGGTATCATGGGCGAAACAGTATACTCTGTTATGTCCATGGTACTGCTTATGTTATTATAGGCGAAACACAGGCATGCAAACACAACTGCTTCGCGGTAGAAACACGAATGAGACAGAGGTGCCCAAGCAAACGACTTTTGTACAAAGTCTCTCCTCTGGTATTGACAATATATTGTATATATTTAATAATCTATATTTAATATATCCATTCGTGAATCTAAAAAT